GAATAGTAAGAAATTTTTTTTTAAAAAGTGAAAAACAGGCCAGGCACAGGGGTTCACACCTGTAAGCTCAGCACTTTGGGAGGCCGAGGCGGGTGGATCACTTGAGATCAGGAGTTCAAGACCAGCCTGGCCAACATTGTGAAACCACATCTCTATTAAAAATACAAAAATTAGGTTGGAGTGGTGACACATGCCTGTAATCTCAGGTACTCAGGAGACTGAGGGAGGAGAATTGCTTGAACCTGGGAGGCGGAGGTTGCACTGAGCCAAGATTGAACCACTGTACTCCAACCTGGGCAACAAGAGAGAAACTCCATCTCAAAAAAACAAAAAAGCCATGATGACCGTGTAAATCAATGCACTGTTTAGACTGCCAAGTGGTGACTCACAATAGTCATAGCAGATCACAGGAAGACGCTGATGGGGGTCTAACACCTCTCAGGAGACCACAGAGGACCAAAGATTCGGGAAGCAGACCAGACTAGATCGGGAAGAATCACCATTCCCACCTTTTCAATCTCCAGCTATATTGACCTGATGCATCACCTCCTCACGTGCAGACTCACCAAACATATATTAGGCTATGGTGTACTGTCACCTGTGCAGCCCTCACCCCCTCCCAGGCTGTGTCCTTTGCCAAAAGTCGCCATCAGGGCCATGGATCTGCCCATGAATCTGCACATGGACAACTTCTTCCAACTTCTTCTCATCTGGATTAAGAAGAATGAATATTTTCTGATTTGTCATTGTCCTAAATGCGTCGACCTTCATCAGGTCAAGGAAAATGGGGGGCATATAAAAGGGCGGGGGGTGGGGGGAAAGATACGGCCAAAAAAAGGTTGGTTGAAAACAAGATGATGGAAGTGAGAAACTTTGATCAGATCAGTTTCTAAAAGTCTTTACAAAGATTTTCTAGGCAGGGCAAGAGCCCTTGAATACATGTTACTATGGTGAAAGCAGTTGTCTACCGCCATCTCCTGCTCCAGCCCCCCACTCCAAATGGCACATTAACTGTGCCAGAAGGCCAATGATACCACCTCACACTTCTGTAGCATCCAATCCATCATGAAAGCAAATGTCAACGCTGGGGCTGGGGCCTCTGCTAACCTCAGAGAAATCTGACAGTCTTTAAGAACATCAGTTGCCAGTTTAGATAGAAAAATTGGCTCTTTATTCTGCCTCCTTTCTCCCCTATTATGTAAACTTAGGCTTTGGGCATGCAGGACCTTTTTATGCTGCCAATGATATTAAAACTCTGGGACACACATTTAAGCAGTACTGCATACACCGTTGTTTTTATTCTTAATTATCTGTCACTTCCACATTAAGAATAAAAAAACAGCTATTGATATCAACATGGGTAACACAAACTCTAAGATAAATTCAGAGAATTAATCATGACACACAAGGCTAGAGATTCACCAACGAAAATGAACCAAAAATCTTTAAGTCAATAATGGTGAAAGCCCATGCTATACACAGATCATTAAAATTACCAGATTCTGTCAGAAACATTGAAAAAAGTTCAAGGAGCCACAGAGATCTACTATCAGCCCTCTTCACTGTCTCATATACAAATGCCCTAGCATTTGATGAGTGAATGGTCCAACTCTGTATATGACAGTGAATGCTTTTTATTTCAAATGTGTCCACACAGAATTATTTCTAAATAAGTGCTAAAATAAACAAAGTTTGATCATAGCTCAGTTAAGAAAGTCCTTCCAGTAAATGCTCCTTCACAGCTGGATGGGTACTTTAATATACAATTGCCCTAGGCCACAGCAGGGGGAAAAATCAGGCTTTTGATTTACTTAAGAAATAAAATAAATAAACCTAGAACATACAAAAGATCCCCTCTCCCACGTTAAGGAAGAAAATGGTTAGATGGATTTTCTGTAAAAACCACCTCTACCCCTGAATGAACTTCCTACATGAGCTGGGCTTTTTTGAGTGACCTGAATGAACTTCCTAAACCCCAGCCCAATCATATAGTCACTAAGGAAAACAGCTCAGGAACAGTAGCTAAGACAAATTTCTCAGATAATAAGACTAAAAATCCAATCACATCCGCCAGTTCCTGGCACCCCTTTCTAATTCTACCAAATCAGGTCACTCAAAAAGCTGAAGGAATGTCAGGGCCCACCCACACACCCCTTGTACACCAATGAGCCCCAGAATCTAGCACGGATCTGCCCAGAGGCACTCAGCTCCTATGGCAGGGAGTGCCTGCAACACCAGAGGGCAGAAATCTGAGTGACACTTGGCACTCTCTCTTTCAACAAACAACCGCAAAGTGCTTTCCAAACCCAAGCCCTCACCATTTTGAAGACCAGGAAACTGGAGCCTTCCCAGGGGCAGAGGTGGAAAAGAAATAAGCCCACCTTCCCATCCCCTCCCCCAAGGCCACACTGCAAACCAGAGGCCATTAGGGAAGGCAAGCGGCTTCCCCCTAGGTCCAAGTGTGGCCTTAACCCCTGGTGGGATCTGGAGAATTTGAAAACTGGAATACTGGCATTTCCCCAGCAGAGGAAAAACAAAATGACTTGTTAGCTGGGAAGAAAAAATAAAAAAGTACACTCCTAGGGGTGCTGGCTTAGAGGTGGAAGGGGAGAGAGGGTACTCGATGCAATGGCTCAGAGAAGGAAAGAGGGAAAGTGAGAAAGAGAAGAAAGATCTATGAGCAGCTGCATTCCCCTTTTCCAAAGGACACAAAGCTGCAAAGCCCAGAGAACGGAAGGGGGAGAGCAAACAGAGCAGAGGAAAGAAAATGGGGCAATGGAAAGAGAGCTACCTCCCTCCACACTACTAACCTTGGTAGAAGTGGGAGAAATGGGGGAGACACTCCCAGACTCCAGAGAGCAGTAGCAATCAACCAACCCCCACCTATTTACCCAGATCTCCCAGGATCCCTGGGGATAGAACCCTCAGGGTTAGGGTGCAGAGAGAGAATCTGCAGTCTCAGAGTTGGAGAACCTAAGGCTCAATGTAGCCCCTTGGCCTCTGCAGCAGAGGGATGGAGAACAGAGAAAGACAAGCCTGAAAGGGGAAGTGCTCAATGGGAATGGGTGGGCCTCGGGTGGTGAGCTGCAAGAAGCAGGTCTGATAGGAACTACACGGAAGAGGAGCCTGGCAGGATACATGGGGAAAGAAAAAAAAGGTGAGGAAGGTAACAAGTCAAGGAGGAACAGAATTGGAAAAGGGACATCAAAGGGGAGTGAGAATCTATCACAGCGCTGAGGCAGCTCCAAAAGGGCGGTGTGGGGGGTGGGGGGGATACATAGGAAACGATGATTAAGAAGACATCTTAATGTCAGAATTAGAGTAAGAACTCCAAGAAGAGGCAGCGCAGTGGAGGGTAGGCAAATAAAGCAGACAGTGAAGGGTGAGGGCTGAATCAAAATGGTGAGGGGAAGAGAATGCCATGTGGAAAACTCAGACTCGGGAGGGAACAGAGGGGGGACACGGTGACAAGAAACTCAGTGTTAAAGGACCGCTCTGAGATCGAAAGGCAATACAGAAGTGAAAAAAGGATCTAAAAATGTGCGGGCAAGTGGACAGCTCCGAAGGGGCAGAGCTGGGGAGGCAAACACTAAATAAAGAGAATGGAGCAGAATTTTTAATAAAATAAGAGGAAAAAGTGCAGGTGCAAAAAGGGTGACGGGGTGGGTAGGCAGGTCTGTGAGATGCAGAACGGGAAGGGGATGGGGGACCAGCCCGAGAGTTAACAGGGGTACAGTGAGATTAAAGGGCACGTCTAAGGGACAAAACGGGGAGGAGAGGACTTGGAGCGAAGAGGGGACAGGAAGCAGTTTTTAGGCAGAGAACTGAAGGAGAGACAGGCCAAAGAAAGGAGAAGCAAATGAATGCAGTAGCTCAGAGGAGTGCCAAAAAGGAGGTGGGGAGGAGATGAAACCTCCAAGAGAACACTGGGGCTGAAACTGAAGGCAGACTGAGTTAGGGAGAGATCAGTTAAGTGAATGGCAAAAATGGGAGACCTGCAGAGTCAGAGAAGGGGGAGGAGGCTGCTCCCCGGGAAGGAAAAGTCAGAAAGCAAGCAGGTGAGGGGAACGCAGAAAGATCTGAGGTCCGGCAAGGGGCAGAGCTGAGAGGCAGAAAGGTCTGGAAGAGAGGAAAGGGTCTGAATGGCAAACGGGAGCAAGAGCTGAGAAGTGAAGGCGGCAAGCACGGTGCAGCCAAGTCCGAGGGGATCCAGGGAATGAACTGGGGAACGGAAGGGTCAGAAAGGCAGCCGAGGGGCATTCCGGGGTGCAGCAGGCTGAGAGGACAGAGACAGAAATGCAAGCAGTAGGGCCCACGAGGGAACCGGATTAAGTCCAAGGGGAAGACCTGGGGCAGCAGTGCTTAGCCGAACAGTGGTCTCCGATGGATCTCCACGGGGTTAGAACCGCAGGTCCTAAAGGGACAGCTCCCAAGGTACAACAGATTCTGAGACAGTAATAATAGCACAGCAGGTAGGTCAAAGAAGGGGCCGAGGACAGATGTGAAGGGTGTTGAGAACAGAATCGAGAAGAGGCAGAAGGATCAAGGATCTCGAAAGTGGGAGCCACAAATAAGGGATACAGAATGGTCAGTGATGAGAAGGTGGGTGCCAGTGCAGAGCCCGGGAAGAGCGAAGGGCATCACGGAGGGGCGGAAAAGGGAAGGGGGGCGCAGAATTGGGAGCCGGTTGGCTGAAGTCGGGGAGGTTGCGAGGCAGACACCGAGATCCCAACGGGTCGGGGGGGGGGGCGGCGGCAGGGACAGCAAGGCTGGGCGGGCAGAGGCAAGTCCAAAGGGCAGGCGGGCCCCACGGGCCGGGCCGACGCGCGAAGCGTCCGGGACCGCGGGGCCCGGGGGACTGGGGGGCCGCTCCTCCCCTCCCCCTCCAGCTCCTCCATTGTTCGCGGGCTCCGGGCCCCGCCGTCCCCGCCTCCCCCTGGACCCCGCAGCGGGGCGGCGCCCGGCCTCGCCGCCCCGGGCCCGCGAGCTCCCGCACTCACCAGCTGGGCGCCCTCAGCGCGGCCCCGGCCTCAAGGATCCCGGCAACGGCGACGGGGGCCCCGGCGCCATGTTCCCCTGCTCCTAGTCCAGCAGCGGCCGAGGCGGCGGCGGCGGCGGCTCCGGCGGCGGGGGGCCGGGCGGACCCTCCCTCGCGGGCTCCCTCCTCCGCCTCCTCCACCTCCTCCTCCCGCCGCGCCGCGGCTCTCCCTCGGGGCGGGGGGCGGGGAGGGGAAGGGGGGAGGGGCGGGAACCAGGGGGAGGGCGGACCAGCCTCGCTCCCTCCCTCCCTCCCTCGCAATGGCGGCGGCGGCGCCTCCTTCCTGCGACGGCCGCTCCCGCGCGCGCGCCCCCTCCTTACTGCGCGTGCGCGGCCCGGGGACCGTTGCAGGGGGATAACGGCCCCTGAGCGCGCGCCGCGAAGGGACAACCAGTGCGAGGCAATGGGGAGAGATCAGAGCGCGTGCGCACCCGAGGGACTCACTGGCACCGCCGCTGCCTGGGGCGAGGAACGGCTGCGGACGGTACAGTGCGCGTGCGCCCCCCAAAAATGCCGCTACTGCGGCGGCTGCCGTAGCCAGACGGAGCGCGAGGCAACCTGCAAACGAGCAGAGGGAGCAGGATAAGCGAGCGCGCGTACGCGGGGGGCTGCCAGCCGGCGCGGCTGCTGTCGCGGGGCGGAGGCAGTGGCTCGCAAGAGCAGCGCGCGTCCCTGCGCGCGCCTCAAGGAGCCGATCTGCCGCCTCACGCTGGCTCCTGGAGAAAGCCAAAGGAGAGAGGCATGGCCCGGTTTTGGGGGTGGGGGGCGAAGGGCGCGATCCCGCTCGCGCGGGACCTGACCAACCAATGGGAAGCAAGTGGAGGTGGGTTTGCCGCGCCAGCCGCAGCCCCCGGGATAACGGAGGCCAGAAGGAGCGACGTAACGTGGGGCGGTGAGGCGGGGCTGAGAAGGAGGGAGCGCACCCAGCGAGGGAGCTGATTGGACACTACGAGGAGGCGTGGCCCGCCTCACCCCCAATCGGAGGCCCGCAATTCGTCGTCCCGGAAGAAGAGGCGGGGCTAGAGAGCGCGTGCTCTTTCTCCTGGCAGTGAAAAAAATCTACAGGCAACGCGCGCGTCCATACAACTTGTTTTTGGTTCTGTGATCGTCTGATACCCAGGAGAGGGAAGACGGCCTGGTCCTGTGTGCAGCTCAAGCCTGTCACTTCGCATTGTGCAAATGATTGCAAATCAAATGTCAGTTCGGTCGCCTGAAGGGGAAATAGTAGTGATGGGAGAGGGCACCGCTGTCACCTTTGACTGCTCTGAACTGAAGAGGTGTTCCTCTGGGACTCCTCCGGAAGTACGGATCGTGGAAGATGAGCTTCCCGGGCGTCAAGCCAATATTTGTGGAATGCATGAAAAAAGGATGTTTCCTATTACATTTTGCAATTCTGCCATCAGTCTCTTCATCTTTAAAATGGGATAATAGGCCGGGCGCGGTGGCTCACGCCTGTAATCCCAGCACTTTGGGAGGCCGAGGCGGGTGGATCGCGAGGTCAGGAGTTCGAGACCAGCCTGATCAACATGGTGAAACCCGTCTTTACTAAAAATACAAAAATTAGCCGGGCGTGGTGGCGCAGGCCTGCAATCCCAGCTACTGAGGAGGCTGAGGCAGGAGAATCGCTTGAATCCAGGAGACAAAGGTTGCAGTGAGCCGAAATCGCGCCACTACACTCCAGCCTGGGTGACAGAGGGAGACTCGGTCTCAAAATAATAATAATCGTACCTCCCTCGTAGGGGTGCTGTGAAAATTAAATAGATTATGTTTTGTAAAGCTCAGGAAATCATGGATTGTATGTAGTAAGCAGTCTATAAGCGTTGATAAAATTACATGGGCTTGTTTATCCCATTAATAAAGCTTTTTATATTAAAGGTTGTTTCCATTTACCTTTTTTTAAATGTAGCACTTTTCGGGTCAGGTGCATTGGCTCAAGCCTGTAATCCCAGCACTTTGGGAGGCCCAGGCTTGCGGATCACTTAAAGTCAGGAGTTTGAGACCATCCTGGCCAACATGGTGCAACCCGGTCCCTACTAAAAATAGGAAAATTAGCTGAGCATGGCACCCGGCTCCTGTAATCCCAGCTACTCGGAAGGCTGAAGCAGGAAATCACTTGAACCTGGGAAGCGGAGGTTGCAGTGAGCCAGGATCGCACCACTGGACTCCAGCCTGGACGACAGAGGGAGACTCCATCTCAAACACACACACACACACACACACACACACACACACACACACACACACACATATTTTTAATGCATTCAACTGATTTTTAGATGTTAGCGACTTAAAAAACAACTTTTCTTTAAGCAGTGGGGGCTTCCAAATAGAGTGCATGAGCTGTCATTGCAAACCCTGGTGTGTAAGGGATTTTTAAGATTACTTGAGGAAACACGGGAAAGACGGCGGGGGCGGAGGGGCAGTGAAATCCTGATACCCCTACTTCAAATTAATGTCTTTATAACAGCTATGCAGTGTTCCAGGTCCTTTCAATCTTAAATTTGTGAACTGGCAGCACCTGGAGAACAAGGACGATTGGGCTCACTCTGGATCCCCCAAACTGCTTGGGTGCCCATCAGCTCAGATTTACCCTTCAACTCTCAGCTTGAAGTCACCTTCTCAGGGTAGTCTCCCAGGTTTGGACTGATCCCTCATTCTTTAATAATAAAAATGAGGTCGGGTGCAGTGGCTCACGCCTGTAATCCCAGCACTTTGGAAGGCTGAAGCAGGCAGATCATGAGGTCAGGAGATCGAGACCATCCTGGCTAACATGGTGAAACCCTATCTCTACTAAAAATACAAACAATTAGCCGGGCGTGGTGGCATGTGCCTGCAGTCCCAGCTACTCGGGAGGCTGAGGCAGGAGAATCACTTGAACCCAGGAGGTTGCAGTTAGCCAAGATCACACCACTGCAGTTAGCCGAGATCACACCACTGCACTCCAGCCTAGGACAGAGTAAGACTCCGTCTCAAAATAATAATAATAAGTACTTTGTGCCAAGCAACAGTCTTTTTTTATTTTTATTTCTCATTTTCAGATTACGGCTGGGACTACAGACGTGCACCACCCCACCCTGCTAATTTTTTTTTTTTTTTTTTTTTTTGAGACGGAGTCTTGTTCGGACCCAGGCTGGAGGGTAGTGGTCCAATCTCTGCTCACTGCAGCTTCTGCCTCCAAGGTTCAAGTGATTCTCCTGACAGCCTCCTGAATAGCCTGGACTACAGGCACCACACCCAGCTAATTTTTGAATTTTTAGTAGAGATGGGGTTTCACCATGTTGGCCACGCAGGTCTCAAACTTCTGGCCTCAAGCGATTCACCTGCCTCGGCCTCTCAAAGTGATAAGATTACAGGCGTGAGTCACAGAGCCTGGCCACAACATTCTTTTTACTTGTTTTCTGTGATTTTTTTTTTTTTTGTTTTGTTTTTTGAAACAAGGTCTTGCTCTGTTGCCCAGGCTGGAGTGCAGTTGTACAGTCATGGCTCACTGCAGCCTCAACCTCCTGAGCTCAAGCAATCCTCCTGAGCATCTGGAACTACATGCCCTTGCCATGACACTTGGCCAATTTTTTTTTCTTTTGGGAGAGTCTTGCTATATTGCTCAGGGTGGTCTCAAACTCCTGGCCTCAAGCAGCTTCTTGCCCAGCCTCCCAAAGCACTGAGTTTACAGGCATGAGCCACCATGACTGGACATGCTAGGCAAAAGTCTAAAAGCACTTTAGACTTATTAACTCACTGGAATCCACATAACCTTATGAGTAAGTTACAAGGTACAGAGAGGCTACACAGCTGGTAAGTGGCAGGTTTGAGATTTAAACCCAGACAATTGGGTCACATTACTACACACCTGTTCTTCATAGCACTTCATCAAGGTTTGAAGTTCTGTATTGGATCCCAGGATTTTGAGACACTGAGAAGGAAAGATCACTTGAGCCCAGGAGTTCAAGGCTTCATTGAGCCGTGATTGTGCCACTGCACTCCATCCTGGGTCACAGAGCCAGGCCCTGTCTCTAAAAAGATTCAATGTGGCCAGGCACAGTGGCTCACGCCTGTAATCCCAGCTCATTGGGAGGCCGAGGCCGGTGGATCATCTGAGGTCTGTAGTTGGAGACCAGCTTGGCCAACCTGGTGAAACCCTGTCTCTACTAAAAATACAAAAAAAATTAGCCGAGAATAGTGGTGGGCACCTGTAATCCCAGCTACTCTGGAGGCTGAGGCAGGAGAATTGCTTGAACCAGGGAGGCGGAGGTTGCAGTGAGCCAAGATGGTGCCATTGCACTCCAGCCTGGGCGACAAGAGCGAAACTCCAACTCAAAAAAAAAAAAAAAAGATTAAATGTTCTGTGTTGTTATCAACATTTTATGTGTGAACCCTCTGAAGGCAGGGGATTCTGGCTAGTTCCAAATTCTGGCAAATGGTCCACAATTAATACTTGTTAATAAATAAAAATGAATGAGTCGCCCAGGCGCTGTAGCTCAGGCCTGTAATCCCAGCACTTTGGAAGGCTGAAGCGGGCGGATCACTTGAGGCCAAGAATTCAAAACCAGCCTGGCCAACATGATGAAACCACATCTCTACTAAAAATACAAAAATCAGCGAGGCGTCGTGGTGTTGGCCTGTAATACCATCTACTTGGGAGGCTGAAGCAGGAGAATCGCTTCAACCCGGGAGGCAGAGGTTGCAGTGAGCCGAGATCTGGCCACTGCACTGCAGCCTGGGTGACAGAAAGAGACTCTATCTCAAAAAAAAAGAATGGATCCAATGCTAAACAAGGGGATGGTAGGCACTGCGGACATGGTAGCCAGAGACAAAGTCCTGTCCACTAACTTCTAGCCTTCTCTGAGATGTTCGCTCAGATATCCCCTCTTCCAGGAGGCCTTCTTTGACGCGGCAGGCTGGGTCAGCTGCTCCCTCCGGACTCCCACAATCCCTTTAGGTCTCCCATCCAAGCCCTGGCCACCATGGGTGGTCCATATCTGGTGACAGGTCTTTGCCATCGGACTGCGAGGCCCCTGAAGGGCAGGGCCAGGGCTGTCTCAGTCATCGTTGATGTCTCTAGCACGGATCCAGGCACAGGTCTGGGACTCAGGC